AATAGCAGTCAATGATCTAATGAGTGTTTTGTTTATTGTTACAGGTTGTAAAATTAGCTAATGAAACACTAAATGACCAATAGCAGTCAATGATCTAATGAGTGTTTTGTTTATTGTTACAGGTTGTAAAATTAGCGAGTGAAACATTGAATGACCTATAGCATGTCAATGATTTAATGGGTGTTTTGTTTATTGTTACAGGTTGTGAAATTAGCGAGTGAAACATTGAATGACCTATAGCATGTCAATGATTTAATGGGTGTTTTGTCTATTGTTACAGGTTGTAAAGTTAGCTAGTGAAACATTTAACTACTCAGCAATAGATAGAGCTAAGGCTAAAACAAAAAAATATGCATCTGAAAAATGGGAAAAAATTGGAAAAACATTCAAAAGAATTGGACTTCCTCCAAAAGTAAGTATCTTTCATTGAACTTAATAGCTAAATTTCATTGTCAATTTTGTTTTTGTTTTTTAGCTTCGCTGTCGACTTTGTCGAACAGAGCTTATCATATGACTGATTGTCCGTTGACGTCTAGCGTCCGTGTCAATGTTTTACTTTTTCGACTTCTTCTTGAAAACTACAAGCCTGAAGCTTTTATATTTGGTGTATATGTACCTTGGGTAGAGCTCTCTTAGATTTGTTCATTTCATGTTGATATCTTCAATTCTCTAATTTTGGTGATATTTTCGACTGCTTGTTAAAAACTGCAATTCCAATTGCTTTGATACTACATATATACATGTAGGGTACTACATGTATATATCTCTCAGATGTGTTCATTTTGTAATGATATCTTTAATTCTTTAATTTTGATGAATATTTTTGTAATTTTTGGTAAAAAGTGATATTTTCGAATTCTTGTTGAAAACCGCAAGTCCAATTGCTTTGATAAGGTACTACATACATGTGGACCTCTCTCAGATTTTGTGATGATATCTTCAATTATCTAATTTTGGTGAATATTTTTGTCATTTTTGGTGAAAAGTTATATCTTTGAATTGCTTTGATGTTATACATATTGTTCATTTTCTAATGATATCTTCTGTTCTTTAATTGCAATGTGCATTGCTAACAGCGGAGCTATCTCAGCTGACAGGCTGCTTGTCTAAATTTTGATACAAATAAAAAACAAACTGAATTGTGGTACATAGTTCTTCCATGTATGAGTCACTGTCGTATGTAGTTTATCATGGTTACCTCAAAGCTATCCTGTCACCAAGCACCTGCGGACATCTTCCTAGTGGCATTAAAAGCAATATCGTGCTATCCTGGCATCAACTAGATCTAGTTGAAAACAAGCACCTTAATTAAAAAAGGTTCCCCTAAAGTCACATACATTAGTGATTGAAACTCAGTGGATTTAGGCTTCCCATTTAGTCTGTGGCACACTAACAGAGGTGGGTGGAGGGTGTCCAACCTTTTTTAAGGTTTGGTCCAACTAGCAATTTGAACTCGGGTCTACTAATCATGATTGACCAGTGTAACTGACTTTCAACTCAATCAAATGTGCTGAAAACATCAAATTTAATAGTGAATTTACGTACAATTCACATCATGCTAAGAATACTCTAAATACTTGTATAATCAACATTTCAAATATTTATAAATATTGATTTTCAAATGACACTTCCTAAAAGCTTCGTGATAATCACAGTACTGCTACAGATGCTGTAATGACAGCTTGATGTGACAATCAAAACATGTCTATAAATACATGTAGATGTCAGTTTGCTTGTTTGTATTATACCACTGGTGGTGTTTATATAACCCTTAAACATCATCCACGAATAGTCCATCAACCTCAGATTTAGCACAAATTTATTTTATTATTAGTACATGTATGAGACAGTAAATGTTATTGGTCAAAAACCATCACATGATCATTTGATAAATATTGATATTGGCTTCTCCCAGCGTATTTCTTGTCTCTGATGTCATTTTGTGTTACTTGCCTCTGATGTTAAAACATCCACGATATTTAGATTGTTGCAGATGTTGAAAATATGGATGACACTTTCTAATGCGTTTCTTTGATTGGTTAATTATTATTTTTATCAAAGATTTTGTGTTTTGGTTTGTAGTTTTACCTCTCTTACTGCCTTGTTCTTCTCTTTTGGGGTAATAAAACTTTTATTGCTCGATATTATCATCCCAGACTAGCTGATAACAGCCACTTGAGGACTATAATTTTTTATATAGCCCTCAAGTGAGGCCTATAACTGTATAAAGTATTACTTATCCATGTTTGTGTCCAAGTGCGGGATATCATTTGGTCAATGTGCAAAGATATATTTTTGTTGTGATATTTGTATAACATGCCTTTCAGATGACAAACATACATGTAAATGTTAGGCTTCAAAACAATCACATACCTCACCGGTTAACAACAACCTGTCAAACATTTTTTTCTGCATAGCAACTTTCTGTTTTTTTTTTTTCAGACCGGTTCATTTCAGTTATTTGTTAGTCAATATAAAGATGCTGATTATTGGTTACGAAGATTTGACACAGAGTCTCTACCAGAGTCTACTGCAAAACAATTTCAATGGCAATTTGAACGACTCGTGGTGTTAGATTATATTATTAGAAATACAGGTGAGAGATGTGCTGAATATTAATATCAAATGCATTTAAGTACAATGAAAGATAAAATCAAATAAACCTGTCTGATCTCTTAAATGACAACTAAAAAGTGGGGATACCCAAACTTGTTTTCAGTTACAATGGCAAATTTTCCCTAAGCATTAAACTTGATACTGGTAACTATTTGAAAAATGGCTACAGACTTCTGAGGTTCATTATGCCTAAACTAGTTTGGTTTTTCTTCAGACTTCAGACAGGATGATGTAATCATCTTAGTCACGAGAAAGATAAAGAATGAAAGTCGCAGGAAATTTATGGATCATGTTTTAGCCGCACTCATCCCCAATTCATAATTAAATTTACACATGTCTAATTATAATAATGTCAATTTACTCATTACATATTCCTGTTACACTTGCCTTCTATATTTCAAGCTACAATTTTATAATCAAAATATTAAATATTTTATCATGAAATGTTTGTACATGCATGGTTTACCCCTTCTTTTTTTCTAAAAATTGAAATCTATAATTCAGAAAACAAAGTTAACACTTCTCATCATCCAGTGTGTCAGTTAAATTGTGCACAATAAAAAACATGCATCAATTTTGGAAAATAAAAATTGAATTTTGCTTCTGCGCCTAATTTGTGAAATTTGTAAATTATCAAAAAAAGTTAGGACTGTTTCAGGACTATCGGTACTGTATGTACAGTGATGCATACAAGCTCCATTCTGTTATCATCAAAGGTCTACAAAAACTAATGGTAGTAATAATAATAATTAAATGATTCAATATAGATGTAAAATAACTTTTATATTTTGATTTATTAGCTCTGCTCTCATCTAAGATGACAGGCAAAGCTGTTGGTATAGCTGTCTTTGTCATCTTGTCTCCCATAACTTTTCTTTAATTAAAACAACTTTTTCTTGAAAACCGCTATATAATATATTGCTTTTATGCTTGGTACATAAGTTTCTTTGATGAACCTCTGAGATTTCATCATTTCATAACGATATATGCTTCAATTCTCTAATTTTAGTGAATATTGTATTCATTTTTGGTGAAAATGCCATCTATTTTATACTTGTTATATACCCCCGGTAAGTACATTTACCATATTGGTTGACCTCTATTAGATTAGGTCATTTTGTGACATAATTATTTCATTCTCTCATCAGATAGGGGCAATGACAATTGGTTAATAAAATATGATAAGTCAGATATAAGTGAGAATGACGATGATGACAATGACCCTGATTGGACGATGGTCAAACCACCTGAAATCAAGATAGCAGCAATTGACAATGGTTTAGCATTCCCATTCAAGCATCCCGATTCATGGCGAGCTTGTGAGTATTATTTTGAAATATTGGTAGATTTTAATAGTTAAGAAGCTAATATGATTGACTTTATATTCTTTATTACACCATTTTGAGATACAGAAACTCCGCTTCAGTGAAAATCATTGAATTTTGTAGCAATGGGGTTCTACAACACAGTGTGTCAGTGACTTTCGTAAAAAGAAATTCCATAAAATCATTAAATTCCCTAGCATCAAAATACTTTTTTATAATTAACCTGTTTTATTTTCCATTACAAATACATATACAGCAAAAGTTAAAAAGTAGACTGTATAGACAGAAAAAAAAGTGGATGAGCACCAAGAATGATAATAATGTGGCTGTGATTTGGCTCGAAGTATAGCCACTGTACTCTATAGGTCGGAACAATTCACGAAGTCGGAAAGTCTCATGTCTGGATTGACATTTATTGAACTTTGAAAAGGAAACATCGACATCGGCTCGAAACAACAACAAACGTAAAAATAATAATAACGATAACAATGGCACGAGGACCTCAAGTATCACATGACACAAAACTCAAGTTGTGATAGATCGGTTCTAAACCAATCACTGATCGCAGTAATAACGTCATAGGTCATATACAACTTGTATGATATAATAGGAATATGAATAATCTAAACTAAACATCAAAACTATTGCTGAACAGAAATAATACAGCGAATTGAATATTAATTACAGAAAACATTTTGAAGTCTAACTAGACAATTCAAACTTAATTAACAAACACACCTATGATTTGCATCTCGCCCCGACAAATAATACTACTAGCAATGAAATATATTGCTATAGCGATGACATTAAAATATATTACCTCTTGTTTTGTGTTTACCTGAAAGATATTTTTAGCTCAGTGTTATATAGAGAGTAGAGAGTAAAGAATATGAACAGATCTGAAAAGAACACGGCTCTGCCTCATTCCTCTATAATTCTAGTTATGGCACAACTCAAACCAACCCCTAGAACATTACTTCATTCAGGTTATATGTTAACTTTTTCATATTCAACTCAAGCATGTCTATAAACGTCCCTAGGAATATGTGACAAATCACTTGGACTGTGTACCTACTGAATAAACACAGTATTGTCACAGTGGCATTGTTGATCTTGCTATTACTTGCTATTTATAATTCGGTCTCCGTCCGTGTGTGCGTGTGTGCGTTGTCCGTCCGTCTTTCCGGAGTCATATTTCAGAATCCTTTGGACCGATTTTGTTCATTCTTTGCATGTGTCTAGTACTTTATGTGGGACATATGCACATGCAGTGGTTTAGCGATTCGATTCAAAATGGCCGACTGGCAGCCATCTTGTTTTTTGAAAATGTTGTATTTTGGACATGCTTTGTCAGTTTTCATTCAAATTTGGTACATAGATTATACATGTTAAGATACATGTCCTCTGACCGTCTGTGCATCCGTCCGTCTGTGCGACCGTCGGTCTGAGGTCATATTTCAGAATCCTTTGGACCGATTCTGTTCATTCTTTGGCACATACATCGTACATGTCACTTTGTTTCATCATCAGATCAAAGATGGCCGAATAACAGCTGTTTTTATTTTTGGTCATATTACTATATCTCTCTCACCCATGTATCATTTTCATTGAAATTTAGTATGTCATAAATGGATACATGAACATGTCAATTCAATTTGCAATTTGATCAAATTTGGCCGACTGGCGGCCATCTTGTTTGTTTAAAATGTGATAACTTGGACATGCTTTTACTAGTGTTTTTCTTTGCTATGTCTTAAACCGGAGGGGTCATCACGCAACACATGTTTGAATTTGATGTAAATAAACAATCTGTTGTAACCGCCACTTGGGACTCAAGTTTCAATGACATGCTCTCGACAACCCCTCCACTTTAATATGACGAGCACAAAGAGAACTTTCAAAACTTTAATGGAGACTGTGTCATTTTCAATGATTTGTTTTTTCCATGAATGGTTCAGCACAAGTTTTGTAAACTTAAAATCACACCTGATAGTAAACACATCTTTATAGTTGCCCTTCTATACATTATGATCGATATCATAATTCTGTAGGATACTTTATTTTCGCTATTTTCGCTGAAGGGATGATTCCGTGAAAATAAAATCCAGCGAATATACTTTTTTTCCTATATTTCACATTAAACTCATCAAAAATCAGTGAAAATAAGTTCCACACAAAACGCCCAAAAAGCCTTTTCAGCGAAAATTAATTCCAGCGAAAATAAAGTATTCCACAGTATATGCTCTTCTCTTTCTCAGACCCGTATCACTGGGCGTGGTTGCCGCAAGCCAAGACGCCGTTCTCCAACGAAACACGAGATCTTGTTTTACCTATGATATCTGATATGAATTTTATACAAGAACTGTGTGATGATTTGTATGAACTATTTAAGGTAATTTATCATTTCTTTACTGCCACTTTATAGTAACAACTATAAATATTAAAACTGATGTATTATGCTCAAGTTAGTTTAATAATACTATATTTCATAGTAATTTCAAGTCTAGAAAGTTTGTAAAGCTCATGTTCATAGAATGCTAGAATTTGAAAAACATTGCAAATATAATATCAAAACAATACAAATGCGCACAAGTGTCATTAGATTAAAACAAAATTGTTTTATTTTTCTGTATTAAATAATGTTTTTTTTTAGACTCGAATACATTCTACTACATTTGTGTACAGGTATATTCATTTTGGATTACATTTTGCCAATTCTGCCATCGCTCCCCACCAGAGTTTCTAGTCGTCAACCACCATATGAATGCATTATTTGTGTTGGAAAATTCTTAATTATTTAGTACATACAAATGTTTCAGAGATTCAATCTGTTATAGTAAAACGTTCATTCGAAAAGGTTCGGTACTCTTTGAACTAGGTGTTCAGTTTGGTTTATATTGCAGTTTTGACGTGCATGCCCTCAATGCTACTGGCATTATTTGTTTAATATGATTTTCACATCAAGAATCACCATGTCCCGGAA